ATATAGTCCGTGAATTGTTTTGAGCTTCTAATACCTTTCCTATAATTTTTCCCCTCAAAAACTCACATAATTATAATTTAGCAGAACCGAAAGTACAGATATTCTCACTAACTATTAAGGTAAAATTCTGATTTTACAAACAAAGCAGACCGTCTTTGTAAATAACTACTTATATATGTAACTAGTGTTATCTTTTCCTCTCCAATTAGTATTGCTAATTCTACTTATTTTATCTTGGGTTAAAATAATATAATACATTAGAAGAAGGTAGGATATGGAGGCGTCAATGTATTTTACAATGTTGAAATTAAGTGAAATGTTTTTTTTTAATTGTTTTAGCCGACTTACACAATTGCAATAACATCAGAGCTGGGTGGTCTCAGGAACGTCAGGAATGTATATTCGAGTAAAGCCACAATCAAAAAAGAACATTCTAGAGGGAAGACATATGTAATTTTGTGTTTGAATTATTTAAAAAAAAGACTAATTAAAAAAGAAGAAAATAATAGTGAATGCAACTATTATGATCCTCCTTGATGTGGCAAATACTCTCTATCGAGTCATACCGCACATAAATATATAGCCGCAGCTACAGAATGACTTGTTTAGTCTAAGGTTTGTCTCGTTGGACAAGACGTCCTTTAATAATAATATTAGTATTGTGCTTTATTAATGTTATGTTATTATTATTGACTGATTGCCGATATTTGACTTAGTAAAAAGGTTTAAAATTATTATTAAATAAGTAACTCAGTTTAACAATCATTTAACTTTTAATACATGAAGTTAAAAAGAATAATTGACATAGGAGCAACGTTTTAACTTAGTCAGATCAGCCTGAAATGGGCGACTGGTCTCCAGGGCGGCGTGGTCACACTTGCTAACACACGGGCCTATGTAGTGTCTCTTCACCCCAAGCTGAACGGCTGTAAAATACATTTGACAATCTTCCTAACATATGTGTGATATTCACATTCATTCAGTCTTCAGACACACACAATTTTACAATTGTTACGAATACATTTACATTAGCTTTACATAAGGCATAAACATTACTAGAAATATATTTTTCATTCATACATTTTTTATACGCGTCCCATACTTATTAATTAGAATATATATATATATATATATATATATATATATATATATATATATATATATATATATATATATATAACAGTACAGTAAACAAAAGTAAGTGTCAATTACCTTCCAATGAAGCCACACAATCCTCTACACACGTTGCCAAACGTACGTTTAATTTATCCGTGGAGAACAAGTGTCGTAGCGCCAAAATAAATATAATGTTAAAATGGCTAGTGCCTTAACACCCAAAAAAAACGTGTACCTCCGAAGAGGGGAGAAGGTAGAGTGACCGGACTGTGGCGTCCCTATCTTCAGGCTCCGCCCAGGGGCGGAACTACAGTGCCGCCAGACCCCGCAATGAGGCGGGGGGGGGGGGGGCTTAAGCCATTTTAGGGGCCCATAGCCGACCATAATAAATTTTTTATAGTTCCAAAAAAAAATTCTTGCATTTTTGACTTGACGGTAAAAGCTTTTGTAAATAACAAACAGATCTACTACAGTTGTGATGTTATACAGTAGCTAACACATGCTGTTGCGTAAAAAAATATACATGTGTGATCTGTCGTGTGAAAGATAGGCAAACGTTCAAAACTCTTCCATGACTTATGTCCCTTTTTTAAATAGTTAAATAGGGGTACTCATAAGCTCCTTTTAATATATTTGTACTAAACAAATTAAAAAGCAATTTCTTCTCTTAATTATTATTACAAAAAATAAAAGAATAAAAGTTAAAGACTGACATAGCATAAAAGGGAAATATATTTAAAACAAATAATATGAATAGAAAAAAACATAAAAATAAACATAACACGAGAAACAATTACACATACAAAGCTTTCACGTTTTTTTTTTTTTTTTTTGACCGGCTCAATATTAGAGGGTCGGCTGAATTACAGCAAACATATTGAATAAACTAGTTCTAAATTTAAAAAAAAATAAAAATAAACTCAAAACAGACCAATGCACAAACACACATGACATGTTGTAATTTGTTTAAATAAAAAAAAATAAAAAAATATGTTTTTCAAAACCCGATCAGGCCAGAAATGAAAATCTAATTTATAAGTTATGTGTTTGTATATATATATATATATATATATATATATATATATATATATATATATATATATATATATATATATATAAGAGTGGGGCCCAAAATTATTTTTTTGCGGGGTGGCCCATTTTTTCTAGTTCCGCCACTGGCTCCGCCCCCATAACCGCAGTCCGAGGTCCAGGCCCGGTCAGCCTTACGATACCGGTGGACTCAGGCTCAGGTGTGTACCGTTACCTGTGGGGTAACAAGAAGGGGGGGGGGGGGAATGGGAGACACCATGATAGATATGTATAATCTATCATAACACTTGAACACGTCGAGACGAATCTCTCGCTGTATTGTTTCCTTAGCTAATACATTTTCCCTTATATTATATAAATTATAAAATATAAATTTTCTTTTATATTTTATTTCATCTTGTAAGGTCTCAATAGTGTTAGAGGGCGAGAGACGACGAGATTTCATTAAATAAAACTCAGCACACCTGTTTACAATATTACATGTATTGTGAAAGATTTAAAAATTTGTGTGTACTGTTAAATGTGATAAACTTGATATGCTCCTCTTATAAACATATAGTGTGCCGCCATGATGGTAGGTTGAGCATCGTTCAAATTATTTTGTCCATTGTAATTCATTAATAATTAAACAATAAATATGAATAAATATATTTTAATGTTTCGTTAATTGTAAATAGGATGCTATTAAAATATATATTATTGTTGCTCTACAGTTCTTTTTTTTTACGAACAACTTTCTCTACCTCGAATCAGCTGGGTGGACTCAGGGAAAATCTACGGACTTGAATCCCGATCAGTGTTTCTTCCAGACTTTTTTCTCCGAGGGACCCAGGAAATTTTCGGGGAGGGGGGGGGGGGGGTGGGGGCGGACACTGTTAAAAGCATATATTTTCTTTATATAAATATATAAATTAAATTTATTTCGTTCGGGGGGGGGGGGGGGGGGGCGGTAGACTTTCTCCCCCCCCCCCCCCCCCCTCGAAGAGATGCCTGAAAGAAACTCTTATCCCGATTCGAACTTCAGACTATCAGTTTAGAAGTCATATACTCTACTATACAACCTTAACGTCCCATGTCAATTACCTAATTAAGTAGTCTTTATACTGTATTACAATTATAACTATCTATAAAGTTTTACTTGAGACAAAGTCAGGGGGATATGTGTTGAACCCAAGTGTTTGGTTCAGAGTTTATCTTCATTAACCAAGCAGTAACTAGAATACATATAAGTCGATCAATCAGAGAAGCTGTACCAGTTCTACCTCTTTTGCTACAACACACGAGCTGGCTATGTTTTGCCACAATATTAAGCTTTACTACTAACATGACTTACAGGACTATTTACCTCTTTAAACCTAAGTCTAACATTTATCTTTCTTGTGTCCGACTTTTTTTAGAATCAAACAATGTTTTAAATGCTTACAAGACAATACACTTGTTTAAGTCTACCATTTAGCTTTCTTGTACTAGACATGACAGGGAAAACAAAGGTTTAGATCCAAACAATGTTTTAATTTTGAACCAAGCTCTTGGTTACTAGAACAAGCCATAATTTCTGTATTGTATATTATAGTATGTGTCATTTGACATATGCATCACAGTGAGAGCCACAAGTATATATTGCGAAATTAGTCATTACATAATATAGATCTAGTCATTTTAATTTTATTTACTTTTAAATTGAAGCGAATTGTGTGTCTATGAAGAACGTTGGCGATTGATAGTTAAAAAGAAAATAAATTCTTTTTTTTTTTAAAAATGTCCTATCCTCTTTAAACTACACATGTTTGTTTCTGTTGTATGAATAATACATTCAAAATGTATAGATTCATTAACAACGAAATATAGACCATGATTTTGATCCTTACCTTATGTGTTTGCAATTATCCATGTAGGTCTGACAAGTGTCCGTTTGAAAAGTAGCTTACATTCATTCTATCTTCCTTTGGAAAAGTAGCTTACATTCATTCTATCTTCCTTTGGAAAAGTGGCCTATGGGAAAACGATCTTTAAACAAAGTTTTATTTGAGCACATATATTAGACCCCCACCCACCATCGGGAAACACATTTAATTTTGATAAATCAAGTTTGGACGTGACTGGTACATTCTAACACACAATGTATCAATGTTTCCCCTAAAACTGCCAAGAACACTCATTTAGCTTTTAATGTCATTGTATTGCAATAAACTCACAACTTTCCAAAGCCATGTTGCCATACATTCTGTATTTCTTATCCCATACACAATGTAAGAATGTTACCCTGTGCTTGTAAACCTACATAAAATGTTTTGATTTTAAGTTTGTGTTTTAAATTGGAGGTGTGAAAAACATTTTAGCATTGTGCTAGTTACTTCCCATGTATACATTAAAGTAATTCCAAGGGACGTTACCTTAAGTTACAAAAAGACGTATTAACATGTACTGAAAAAAAAATAATTCCTATTTAAAACTATGAAAACAATGCCTGGGATAAATTAATATTTTTACTTTCAAAAGTAATGTTGTACGTATTTATGTATGCTTTATACTATTAAAAAATAAAATATGTGTATGTTTGAATAAAAAGAAAACATTGGAAATATCTCTTAAATAATATGTACATTAGTAATTATGCACATTACTCAGTATTAAGAGTTCATTCTGGATTATACTGATCTCAATATATATGCGACACCTTTTTCATTGTCTAGAAATTTTTAAAACTAGCATTGCTGCCAAGGTAAATCTCAATGGATCTAAATGACTTACCTAATCATAAATTAAAAAGTGGGCAAGACAGCAGCCAAATGAGTGCTAATCAAGAATGTAAAACCCCAGCAGCAGGTGACTAGATCAAGGAACTGTTTACACCATTTTATGACTTTGATGACATTGTCAAAGTGGCAAAAGATGGTTACCAAACAGAGGAAAGTAAAATAAAACCTGTCCCCATTCTTGACCCTGTCGCAATAAGGGAAGTTTTTGAACGAGTACATAGTCGCATCGTCGAGGCAGAAAAGGAAAAGCTTAATGCCTTACAAGAAAAAAAAGAAAAAGAACTAGAAAAGAAAATAGACCCACGCAGTTCAAGTATTTGGAACACAGATGAAATCAGCACTCTTCGAAATGTCTATAGATCAGCTAAAGGGGAAATCATCAAGCTTGAGGTTGCACTTAGAGAACAAACAGCCCACAGTAATTCCTTACAAGATACAGTGTTAAAACAGCGATTGGAGATAGAAGATCTTAAAGAAAAACTAAAGGAGGCTTCAAAATCTAACAAACGACTGGTCATACACAGAGACAGTCTGCAGAATGATTTGGCTGTGCTTGAAGTCAAACTGGCAGCCCTCACAGACATGTGGCATGAGATACAAGCTGAAAAGGTGAAAGCCATGGAAGATACAAAATGTTCCCACATGGAACTTGACAAGGAACGGCTCATCCGGAACGACCTGGAGGCCAAACTCTTACAAGCCGAACAAAATCTGCAACGTGAAAAATCTCTGCTGGAGCGGAACATCTCCGCTAAGTACGAAGCGGAGATAAAAGACTTGCAGGAAGTGGTGCGTGATCTGATGCTAGAGCTACAAGAGGAGAGGAAGCTCCACAACGCATCCAAGAGAGGGTTGGAGCATTTAAGGAACCACTTCTCAAGTTTACCGCTACAGCATATTTTGCCACCCAATGCTGCTGTGAAAAATGAAGTTGAAGTTATTGACCATATTAGTCTCAGTTAGAAAATGTAAACCAAACAGACATTTAGCAGCTGGAAAACGAAGTTGAAGTTATTGACCATATTAGTCTCAGTTAGAAAATTTAAACCAAACAGACATTTAGCAGCTGGAAAACGAAGTTGAAGTTATTGACCATATTAGTCTCAGTTAGAAAATTTAAACCAAACAGACATTTAGCAGCTGAAAAACGAAGTTGAAGTTATTGACCATATTAGTCTCAATTAAAAAATTTAAACCAAACAGACATTTAGCAGCTGAAATTAACACACATCGCTGTTGAATTTTGAAGGAAAGCAGCATTTGTTTGCAATATGTGATTCTTTGACGAAATTCACAGTTATTACTTACTTTCTATTAAACTAACATACAAATGTGATTAAAGTTCATTGATCATTGTTTTCAAATATTGTATTTTTCATGTAATATAAACTGATTTATTGTAAAAATCAAAAAAAAAAAAAAAAAAAAAAATATGCGACACCTTATATCTATATATGTAACTACAATATCACTATTGGTTTACAAAGGCGTCTATTTTAAAGACGTGTAATAACCATTGCTACAACGTGTTCACTTTGGGTATTGCTGTTTTTGTTTCCATACCAGTCTGTGGTTGTGTGACCTTGGTATGAGGTACGTCTGGTGTGGTGGTGTTAGCTGTGGTTGCTGTTCAGTTGTTATGTTTGAGGTTTGTAGTGTCAAGCTGTGGCGTGATTACATTCCGTGTTGTTGTTTGCGATGTTAGTTGAGTTTGGTCTTTGTAATTTAATTTAATGTAGTATGGAATGTCTGCTGTTGTTTTTTTTTTCTGACTAGATATGTGATCATAATGCAAGGACATGTTTTTTTTTGTTTTTGTTTTTTTTTTCTTAACTCTCTTATTTCAAAAGTCACCCTTAAATATGTTACAACATTCCGACATCTGGAATAGTATACCTTACACATTTAATTAAACTAACATCTTTGTATACATTTATAAGGTCAATTTTACGTGCGGCGTCAAAACGGCCAATGACAAAACGGCCCCGTCAAAACGACCCCGACAAATCGGCCCCGACAAATCGGCCCCGTCAAATTGACCCCGTCAAAATGGCCAGCGACATATGGACCCCGTCATATAGGCTCCCGGCAAATAGGCTCCAGTCAATAAGGCTCCCGGCAAATAGGCTCCAGTCATTTAGGCTACAGACAAATAGGCTACCGATATATAGGCTCCGGACAAAAGGGCTCCAGTCAATAAGGCTCCTGACAAATAGGCTCCCGTCATTTTGGCTCCCGACAAATAGGCTCCCGACATTTAGTTTCTCCACAAAACAACCCCCGTCATTACGACTAGCGTCATTTTGCCTCACGACAAATAGGCTCCTGTCAATTTGGCTCCAGACAAAAGGGCCACTGACAATACCGTTTCTGTAGAGACTAAGTCTCCCGGCAAAGCGGTCTCATTGAATATGACACCTGCCAATGGGACCCCTTTATCAATATTCTTTAGAGTTAGCTTATCCAACACTCTTATGTAATATAACGCGTGCATCTCTTGTTCGACAGGCACTATTTTTATATTAGTTTATCTATTATAAAATATAGTATGTTTTAATTTAAGGGTCATCTATCTATGACTTCCATACATGAGTCGGTTATAGGCTGTTCGAACTCAGTGTGTGGGGAGAAGGGTCCACGCTGTACCTTCCTACCTGCAGTATGCTTGTAGGTTATCATAACAAAATGCTGTTATCATGTATATCATACATTTACACTTCTGTGTTCGCTTTTAAGCAACAGATCTTTTCTGTTGTAAATTAAACATAATCAACACTTTAGAATTGGTGGAATTTAGCTGTTAAGGGCTCGATTTGTTTGTGAATTAATGTTGGTTCACGAAAAACAATTTCATTCGGGCATTTAAAAGAGTTTATAGTGGTATTGGAGGTAAGACAAAATGGTTACTTTTAAGTCAATAGTGGTCATGCCATTCATTGGTCTCGAGCCAATATGTCGGGAGTCATTTTGTCAAAAGCAAATATGTGGGGAGCCCAATTGCCGGGAGCCAATATGTCGGGAGCCCATTTGTCGGTAGTCAATATGTCGTGAGCCTATTTATCAGGGGTTAATATGTCGGGAGTCCATTTGACGGGAGCCTAAATATCGGGAGCCCATTTGTCGGGAGCCTATATGTCGCAAGTCAATATGACGGGAGCCCATTTGACGTGAGCCAATAAGTCGGAGCCCTTTTTGAAGGGGCTATTTTGACTGGGTCGTTTTGTCGGGGGTCGATTTGACGGGGTCAAATTAACGGGGCCGTTTTGACGGGGCCGATTTGTCCCGGGCCAATTTGACAGGGCACCCCAATTTTACTTCTCCGCCCCCCACCCCACCTCGCAACTCCCCTTTAGGTATGTATACCACTCTCACCTCTCCTCCAAGTATTCATACACAACTCTCTCTTCTCCGACTTATAATATATTTTTCAGATAGTGAACTCATACTTCACGAAACTAAAAACCTGAGAGTCAAAGAAATAGCTATCAATGCAAATCTACAACAGTCCTCACATATCGAACGATAAGCATAGTTTTAGCAACCAAAGCAATAATGAAAAAAGCAAATTAGTTTTATTTTCTTAATTCCATTGTACTAAATATACTTAACGCACATTTGTAAAAAAAAAGCAATTTATCCTAAGCAAATTATTATTAACTTAGAATTATAATTAAACATTTCAAATTAAACTTAAACCTAACATTTACAATTCATTAACAAATCAAAAAAAAAAGATCCTACTTAAGCTGAAAATACGTGTCGGGGAAATAAATATGTTACTCGTTACAGCACACAAGTATATTCAAAATGTGATCGAGAGTTTTAAAACGTTAAGATAAAACAGAACATGCCTTGACACCAGAGGTGTTGTGAGGCGGGGGCGGGGGGGGGGGGGGGGGGGGGGGGGGTTGTGGACCGTACCGGGTGACACCATTTAGGGGGGTGACACCATTTAGGGGGGTGACACCATGGCGAAAGTTGCAAAATATATAAAAGAAATATGCTTTTTGCCAGTTCAAGTAATGGTCAATTGGATGTAACCCACCTATATAAATACAGATAAACATCTTAACCATTAACTGTGCACACTTTAAAACTATCACCAATGGAGGAGAAGGGAGAGGGGGGGGGTGGACAGTAACACCAAAACTATAAACTTTACAAAGAAACATGTTTTGCTGAGAATTTTATATAACTGTTAAGTCAACCGACGACCGGTAAGGGGGTGACACCGAAATCTAATAATGTATGAAGGAAACTGTTAATATAACGTGCGCACAAAATGACGTCATTAGGTAAAATGGGAGGGTCGTAAGACCAATGGCTATTATATATATATATATATATATATATATATATATATATATATATATATATATATATATATATATATATATATATATATAGGCCTATATAGACCTTGGGGTTATATATCTATTTTTTTCGGGGGGGGGGGGGGGGGGTGACACCATGAGGTGCCGCACCAGGTGATACCCAACCTAGCGACGCCACTGCTTGACACAACACAACACTAGATACCAAATTTTAACAAAACCTTCACGTTACTGATCATTTGCCACATTATTGAATTTTACATATGTTTAAAGCATATGCTATAATAAAAGATGCACCCATCTATATGTTGTCAAATTTTAAATTTATGTTTTTTTTTAAAAAAAAAAATCTTATTTTTTTTTCTATTATGTTTGTTTAGTTATAATTATCTAGAATAAAAACAATAAGTTGAATAATAGAAATAATGTTATACTTTCGAGAAGTAACTGCTAGTGAGATAATTAAACAACATAATACACTTTAATATAATGTTATTGTAACTGTATTTTTATAGTATTAAAAAAAGCTCAAACAAAAAGATAATTTAATTTGATAATACGACAAAAGTGAACTTTGACTGTTGTTGCGTGTACTTTAACGAATCTTTAAAGTATAAAATCACAACTGTCTTCAAGAAATATACAAACAAGTGCTATCTGTTTGACCATATTATTACATCATGTCGAAATTTAAAATATAATTTAGCAACTTTTAGAATAAATCCTTACCGTATATGGACAGCATTGGACAAACCACCTGAGATCAAAGACCCTATGTGGACAAAACACCTATGATCAAAGCCGGACACAGCGCTTGTGATCAATCACCAGTTGATAGACCACCTGTGATCAAAGACCCTCTGCTGAGAAAACACCTGTGGTCAAACCCCCTATGGTCAAACCCCCTATGATCAAACCACCTATGGTCAAAGCACCGCTATGGTCAAAGCCCCGATGTGGTCAAACCCCCTATGGTTAAAGCCCCTATGGTCAAAGCTCCGCTGTGGTCAAACCCCCTATGGTCAAAAGCCCTATGGTCAAAGCACCTGTGGTCAAAGGTCCTAGGACCCTACAACCACAAAATGTATATTTGAGGTAACGCTTCAATGAACTTGTGAGAAATCACTTATCTATAAAAACATGGATTAGTTAAAATTATAGAACAGTAAAATAAAGCCAACAATTTCCTGCTATTGTGGTGGTACGATAGTGTTAACAGACATGTGCAATAATAAATTATGTATTTAACTATATAGATTAATGACTTACTGCAATCGATTTAATAAGTTTAATTAGTTTAACGTTAATGAAGCGCCACAACCATTTTACACGCCAATCACTATTTATATTACCAAGCTACATACTAGATGTGTTTTACAAAGGTCAAATGCACGTACACAAGCTGTCAGTATATTAAAGTCAATGTATATATATCCATATACAATTAAACTTTAAATTTATTGGAGGAAAATAGTCTAACATGTGTCTCTATGCGATCTAAACTATGATAAAGTCGTCATTGATTTTCTTTAATAACTATATATACGGTGTTGTCCTTTACACTAGGTGGAACCAAGTATGTCCTGCTTGTTCTAACATAAGAACTGAACCCAAGAAAAGTCAGTTGAACACTTGACCAATACATCGCATTGTTAGATATAGGCAAACTAGTGATATACTTATTTATGTAAAAAGGTTTAACAAATTATTTAATAACTGATTAGAAAGCAAGAAAATTTTTTATAGTCTAATATGATAGCAGAATCTGTTGTTTTGTACAGTTTTAGAAATAATTTCTCCCCAGTCTTTATATGTAAAACACACATATTTGAAGCACTAGCATAGTCTTTTGTAGTACACAATACACCAACATATTTTTCATTATTGCAGAATTGCGGCATCACGTGATCGTTTAAAGCGCCACTGTCAGTCTGGTATAAAACAAAACTGACAAGGTAGAGGCCATCAACTGGTGCAGTGAAGATGCTTGTATTTGGGTCGTAATGACCTGAGTTATGGCCTGGTATAAAACAAAACTGACAAGGTAGAGG